CAGTCGTCAGTCAGGAGAAGTTATACAGCTTGTGAACAACCTAGTTATTTAGATTGTGTCTTCACCAAATATCCTGACAGTATAGGCGAGGTATAGTGCCTACCTCCACTTGGATGGAAGTGATCACAAAGTACTTTCATGGGACTATAGTCTATATTCTGTACCTCCTGCGATAAACGGACCAAGACTGACTATATGGCAAGCAGACTTTTGCCAAATGAGAAGTGACGCGTCACAAATATACTGGAGTCTTATCTTCTCTGCGGATGTCATTGAGGACTGGAATCTATGTAAGAATGTGTTGTTTCATCTAATACGATATCCAAACGACCGCAGATACTGACAAGAAATCTAAGAGGAGAGACTATTATAGAGGAAGGCTATGGAAGAAGGTTTGCTGAACGAGCCATAATGAAGCTTCCAAGGAATATACAATCCAATATAGCGAGGTAAAAAGTCTGGTTTTCAAAAGGGGACAAATTTTTAAAGTGATTTGCTACATCAGGCAGTCAAAAATTCCAAGTTTTTCTAAAACTACTTAAAAAAGCACACGTAACAGGAACCCGGTTCCTGTTCTGGAGAATCACGAAGGTTTCCAGATATTGGACAGTAAATACAAAACCGAACATTTTTGAGTACTTTCGATCGGCTTTCACCAGAAAAACTGCCTTCGTCCATTCAGTGACGACCCCGTGGGAGCACCACTTATTCAGTATATTCTGTTCGGATAAGGAGTTATATTTGAAGAGCTAAAAAGCTTGAAGGAATGTAAATCTCCCGGTCCATTTGAGATTCCAGCAAAGCTGCTCCTTGGACTTGCTAGAGGGCTGGCCAAAGCAGGATCTATTGTGCACCAGCAAACGTTCCATAACGGAAGTCTTTCCGCAAATTGGAAAACAGCCCACGCCGTTTCACAATAGTTGTAATCGTGCGCGTGCGAACAACTAGAGACCCGTCAATCCGACCTCCAAATGCTTCAGGGTAATGGAAAAGATCATCAAAAAGGAATTGATGACCTATTTGGAGACCCTAAATCTCTTGTTCAATACTCAATATGACTTTAGTAGGGGTAGGTCGTGTATAAATCACTTGATTTTTACGATGAAAAACTGGACAACGGCCATCGAGGCAAAAGACACCATACGCGTGGCCTACATTGCTTTCCGGAAGGCCTTCGACAGTGTTCCATACCAATGTCTCATGCATAAGTTGACAATGGTGGACAAAAGAGGCAAACTTCGTACGTGGATTTAGAATTTCCTCGATGGTCGTTCCCCAGTTATGTGTATAGAAGGACAACGATCAACGTCCACAGGCATCGAGAGTGGAGTCCCTCAAGGTTTAGTGCTCGGACCGACCCTCTTCATTTTGTTCTTTAATGATTGCGCACAGAAATGGGACTGTGAGCGTGCCATGTTTTCAGATGATGTAAAAATATGGAAGATCATCAAGAGTGCTGCCGATGAAGATGACTGCCAGGAGTGGTCACGCAGATGGATCCTGTCTTTCAATTTGAACAAATGTAATCTGCTGCGTCTGAGAACTCGAAATCAGGTCCCTGATGCGCAATCCAGTTATCTGCACAGAATCCCACTCCAAGAAGTAGAAATACAGGAGGTACTCGGCATCTGGATGACAGACAACAACACGACTTCTAAAAAATGTTGTAAGGCGGTTAAAGCTGCAACTACAATGCTTTACGCCATCCAGCGGGCATTCACCATTCTAATGAAAACTGCTTTTTGAAAATCCTCGGTATCTTTATAAGGCCCCACCTTGAATACGCGATGCAATCATCAAGAACGTGGATGCAGCAGAATTACAACGTACGCGAAAGTGTCAGTGACAATCAGCAGATTTCGGGCGAAGTGTTTATCAGCTCAATGGTGTACCGCGGCCAGTTTCTTGAGCTAGAAGCATTCAACTAAATATACGTATATCGCCTCGTCTGCAAAAACTTCTTTGGTACTTAGCCAACGAATGCAGTGGTCATAACCCTTTACCGTGCGCAGTGGGAAACTCAGAGATAAAGACCTGGCATTGACGACATTTTTATTCATCTACAGTGTACTAGAAACATTTGTAGTGTTTCTTGCACCTTTTGCATATTGTCCAAACAAACTGATGGCTGACACACGCAAGGATCAGCTAAAACCACTGAGAAGACCCTTTAAAAGTTTTCATTCAATCAGTGTGCACGTGAAGGCGCATTTCGAAAAGGATCTTTTCTAGGTGATTAAGCAGTCCGTTCAAGACCCAAATGAGCTTAACTACCCTCCTCCAGAGCCTTGCTACTGACAGTTCTAGACGTTTGCGCAGCTCTGAATGGTATGCCCGCAGTAGTTGAAACAAATCCTTTGTAACGGACAGTGACAATTTCGACTTCAAGCAGAAGTCTCCCATTTCAATCAGCAAGCACTTGCCTCCTACTGTGTTAGCTATTTGACTAATTTTCGGGGCTTTATACCTTCTTGTAAACATCTCCCATACATTTCCTGCTCATAGGAATTTTCGGGTTTGCATCACGCATTCCGGATTCTGGTGACGTTGGGAGGAGGAGGATTCTCACCTTGCAGCATAATATGCCTTTCTCTCGTGCGAAATCCTCTAAAGTATGGCGCTCCGATGAAACCGTAATATTTACGTTTATTTATTACTACCCAACAGTTCAACCATCGGCTTTGATGATGTCCACTGTATGCTGCACAACAGGGTGGTGCAGGGATGGTGACTTTTACGTGAACATAATTTAATTGATGACAAATTTTCACGCCATCTACCGCACTTCTTCCCGCACCAACCTGTGCCCACTGTCAATAAAATCTGAACCAGGATCGGGCGCATGTATTTGGCACGGCCCAAGGCACCCCCATGCGTGCCATCTTCGCGCCTTCATGTTCGGTATTTGCTGTGGGAGTGCAACCGGAATAACGCCTACCGTACCCTAATATGGCCCCCATGTTCGTTAAGCGCATCTACCATACGGCCTGCTTTGGGACACATTACTACTACCTATGGACAATAAAAATGATACATGAGCGGTTTAATTGTCAGTTCAAGATCCCTTTACAGAAAAAAATTACATCAAACCTGTTGTGGTACGAAACATATAAAATGCAGTCCGTAAGTAAAATTCTTGGCTGACTTGAAATACTACTGCAGTGATAGTGGTTGGAAATCAAAAACTAAACAGTCCAACCACTATTTTGACACAACCAGTGTATCTGACGTAATTATTTCGCTTGGGAGTGATTTCCATAGTTGAACAACCCACTTAGTAATCCAAAGCGAGTCTTAACCTTTCTTTAAATGAAAAAAAACAAGAAGAGAACTTTAAAGATAGCTAAAATCGTTACTTTAGGGGACGATCTCAACAGATTTAGCAAACAATTAACAACATGGACAGTCTTTGGATAAAGTGGTATCTTCGGCTGGATGTGTGACATGGGTAGGACTTACTGTTAAGGATTCCTGATAAACAACACCATGGTAACAAAAACTTCAGGTTTGTAGAATATGGGACTAGCGGTAAAAGGGGTTATTTGGGTGGGGCATATAAGGGGAAGGAAAATAAAAACAAAAAAATAATGGATAAAGCAAAAAGTAAACTAAACCGCCTACGCTAAAAATGAACTAAACTAAAACGTCACCAAAAATAAACACATCTAAAACGGAGCTAAACCAACTAAAATAAACAAAACGTCACCTGAACTAACTAATCTAAACAAAGCTAACCAAACTAAAGACTAAATTATAAACTGATAACTTAAGTAAACTAAACAATGAACTACAATGAAATAAGTAGTAAGTTATGTATGGTAAAGTACCCCAAAATCTCAGTTAAACCATTTTTAGAGTTCATTAATTGAGTGTTTTATAACGTAGTGGACAATAATGAAGTTATGACTACCGGGTTAAATTATTTACGTAGCTTTATATTGAATATCAACCAGCAACGTGGTCCTTTTTGACCGGAAGCTCAGATTGTGTTCCCTTGCCTACATAGTCGTGGAGCGGCAACAAGTATTGCAGGCACACAAACTTTTTGTTGAGCTACTTTGCGCAATCGTACCCCGAAAGGCATGGAAGGGAAGTATTCCAAAACGAAGCGACATATGGTATAATAGAATAGATTTATTTTACCACCCCTTCAGCGTTTTCATTCCCGTTAGAGCATACGAAGAACGTAAAACAAATTCCACAATTTCGGGTACGTGAATGAAATAGACTGAAACGCGACAGTAGTATTTGATCAAAGCAACGACCCATTCTTCCTGTTTTGGAAGAATTTAATTCAGCTCCTAACAAAGAACAAGAAGTCGCTTGGGAAGCCAGGTTACGCGTTTTCTGACCTGATTTTGTGATACTGGGAGTAATAGAGAATTTGAAAAGGAAAAGGCGACTTTGATGAAGGTATTTCAGACGCCCAGTATCCACGAATTTGGTGATTTCAAAATGCAGAAGTTAATAGTTGAGGCTCTTTAGAAGGAGGCGAACCCCCTATCTAATCCCTTGATATAACCGGATACTGAGGAAACAGCTTTTGCTTAGCGATATCACATCAATTACCGCAGCTAGCGAGAAAATTAGCACAGTGAAATTCATGACAGACACCGTAAAGAAAATTTTGGGTTATCAACAAGTTAATACACCACTTGGTCTGGACAGCCTCGCTGACTAACTGGGACTCTACCTAATACCTGCAAGCAAGCCAACATAAGAAACATATATAACGGTGATGAAAGAAATCGGCTTAACAGTCTTAGATCAGTCAGGTCAGCAGCTGTTATATGTAAAGTTGTAAAGAAGACAATACACGGAATGACTGAGATGTCATGAAAAAAATGGCTACTTAATTTGCCTCTGCATGGTTATAGAA